ATGAAAACGGAAAGGCTACCCACTATATGGGAGAGCATAAATGGCCAATGATATATCAGATAAGGGGTTAATTTCATATATATATATATATATATATATATATATATATATATATATATAGTGCTCATACAACTTGACCAAAGGAAGACAAAGAACCCAATTAAAAACTGGGCAGAGGAACTAAATAGACACCTCTCCACACAGGACATACAAATGGCTAAGAGACATATGAAGAAATGCTCAACATCACAAATCATCAGAGAGATGCAAATTAAAACAACAATGAGGTATCACCTCACACCTGTCAGAATGGCCGCCATCAACAAATCATCAAAGAACAAGTATTGGCAAGGTTGTGGAGAGAAGGGGACTCTAATACACTGCTGGTGGGAATGCAGACTGGTGCAGCCGCTATGGAAAACAATATGGTGCTACCTCAACAAATTAAAAATTGAACTTCCATTTGACCCAGTGATCCCACTTCTAGGAATATACCCTAAGAAGCCTGAAACACCAATCAGGAAGAAACTATATACCCCCATGTTCATAGCAGCACTATTTACAATCGCTAAGATCTGGAAACAGCACAAGTGTCCATTAGTAGACGAATGGATAAAAAAGCTGTGGTACATATACACAATGGAGTACTATGCAGCGGTAATAAAAGAAAGATCTCTTATCCTTTGAGACGACATGGAGGGACCTGGAAAGTATTATCCTAAGTGAAATAAGCCAAGCAGAAAAAGACAAATACCACATGATCTCACTTATATACAGAATATAATGAACATAACAGTCTGAAGAATACTGTAGACCCAGAAACATGGAATTAGGGCACAGACTGACATCCCTCAGAAGAGGGAGTGGGGCGCTGGGAAGAGATAAAGCACAGAACTTATATGCATGTATGCATGACCAATGGACATGGACAACTAAGCCAGGGACGGGGCGGGGGTGGGGTGAGGAGGGGGGTGCCAATGGGGTAAAAAAGGTGAAATATCTGTAACAAAAAAATGAATAAAAAATTTAAAAAAATAAAAAGAAAAGAAAAAAAGTATATATGTTTTAGCCCTGGCCAGTTTGGCTCAGCAGTTGGAGCATTGGCCTGCAGACCAGCGAGTCCCAGTTCAGTTCCCATTAGGGGCATGTACCAAAAGTATATATATATATATACATGTATATATATATATATTTTTAAATTTTTCAATTACTGTTCACTTTCATTATTCTTTTTTATTGGTTTCAGTGATTAGACAATCACTATATACTTTACACTTAACCACACTTTTAACATAAATAAGGAAAATTAAAATATATTTATCACTGGATAACATAAAAATTTTAGTATATCAGCCATGTTTCTATAACAAATGTTAACTCTCCAATTTGTCAAACACTGTACAAAGAAATCTTGACAGTTTAACCACTGTCATATTTTCAAATGATTGGCAGAGCCTGACAAGAGAACAGCACAGGAATTTTATTTACTCAGATGCTACCTGTCCAGGGAGATTAGTATTCTTCTCCTTTGTTTAAATTGTCAGCAGCATCTTTTTGAAAAGTGATTTTTAATTGGCTACATCAATAGAGTAAGATTTCCACCTCTCCACTTATATACGGAATATAATGAACAGTCTGAGGAATACGGTAGACCCAGAAACATTGAAGTAGGGCCAGACTGACATCCCTCAGAAGGGGGTGGGGTGGGAAGAGATAAACCCCAGAACTTATATGCATGTATGCATAACCAATAGACATGGACAACAAAGCTGTGGACGGGGCGGGGTGGGGTGGGAAGTAGGGTGTCAATGGGGTAAAAAGGAGAAACATCTGTAACAAAAAAATGAATTAAAAAAAAAAAGTTGCTAAGATAATTGATCTTAAAAAGTTCTAACCAAGACAAAAAAAGGTAACTATGTGAGATGACTGATGTGTTAACTAACCTTATTGTGCTAATCATTCTGTAATATATATGTATAGAAAATCATCACATTAAACTTATAAAAATGTTATATGTTAAATATATTTCAATAAAACTGGAGAAAAAATTTACAGCTTACAATGTCCACTTGAAATACATGCATGGAACAGACTGAGAGATCTCAGAGGGAAGGGGTGGGGGAGGCAGGAAGAGATTAAACCAAATAACTTATATGCATATATGCACAGCCCATGGACACAGACAATGGTGTGGTGAAGGCCTGGGGTGGGGCAAGGCCTGAAGGGGTAGGGCAAAGGTGGGGAAAAGCAAGAATATCTGTAATACTGTCAACAATAGAAAAAGGAAATGAAAAAAAAGAAGAGCTATTAATAACAACTGAAAAAAAAGCAAAGAATAAAAATAAAAGAACAAATAAAAACTGGTATCAGAGAAAGTAAAGTAAAAATAGTTCTGCCAACCAGATATTGTGTCTTTGATGTGATGCCTCATGAAATACATATACTGTTTTTAGGTCAAAATGCATAACAAAACTTCATCAGGCCTCTAAATATACCTTCCACTTTATAGGAAATGTGAAAGATAGAGAAATATACTAAATGGCACCAAGAAGAAGCAACCTGTCCAATCCAGAAGGTGGGGTGTCTGGCAGGACCCCTGGCTTAGCCTCCATAACAGAGCAAGGTTATAAATTGGAGAATGGGGTTGAGAAACACAGGGAGTAGTGGGAGGGAAGGATTAAAAAGGAACCCCAAGAGAATATGCGATGCTATCTTGACTGTGGTGATGGTCTTATGGATATGATAAAACTTACCAAACTGTACATTTTAAATATGTACAGTGACCCGTCCCACAGGTCGAGCAACGAGGACTCTAGAGGGGGAGTGAGAATGAGGAGGGACAAGAGACAGGAGAAATCTCCATTTCTCAGGGCTCTGATCAACTCTGTTTATTCTGGGGAGATCCACAGTATATATATATGGCAAGAAGCAGAAAAACAGGAACATTTGTTGCCAAGCTATGTTTGTGGTAACCACCCCTAAGCAATTCCAAGTAAATATCATGTAAATATCACAGGTGGAACAAAAGACAAACAGAGCATAACTGGCTGAGTAAATGGTTTCTTAAAGGAATGCAGAAACATTGTATGCAGAGATGAAGAGATATCCTGCCTTGGGGCAGGAGATGGCAGAGCAGATTTTAGCAAAATAGATGCCATGCAAACAGTCTCCCACAGTAGTTTATTGAATGTTAACCATACTGCAATAAAACTGTTAAAATGTTTTAAAAAAGTAGAAATATATGTTTTCCAAAACTCATCCCTTTTTTCAGTAAGTATAAGGGTATAATCTTGACAATAAAGGTTTATAGAACCATGTCAAATTTTTATTTTGTCACATATACTGAGGCTGCGTAAAAGAAAGACATCGTTCTGAGGATATATATACTGAAGTATTTACAGGTAAAGGAGCATGATGTCTGCAAGTTAGTCTCAAATAGTTCAGAGAGGGAAAGGGAGAGGGTGGAGGAAAGGGGAATGAGTAGGGGAGAAGGAAAGGAAAAAAGGGAAGGGAGAGGGGGAGCAGAATGATAGAAAATTATAAAGAATGATATAGAAATAGAGAAATACATAGAGAATGATAAAGCAAACATGGCAATGTGTTCATTGGTGAATCCAGGTGAAGGGTATATGGCAGTTTGTTGTAATATTCTTACACATTTTCTTTAAGTGTAGAATTAGGTCAAAATAAAAATTTAAAGACACACAAGCATAAATAACAGCAATAATTCCATCATTGAATAGTATAATCACACTTTTCCCTATGCATTTAATGAAATAAAAAGTTTTATATAGTCAAAATCTACTGGGATGAGAAGCTAGTGTATAATTTTGTTTTTTGTTACCAGAAAGATAAAAAAACATTAAATACTTTAGAGCAGAAAATAAGATGAAGTTAATCTGTAATTGAACTAATGATTTCACAATGATTTTTTAAAAAGAGATGCGTTTGTAAATGTTTAAAAAACAAATAACTTGAGTCAAAATGAAATCGTAAGTGAAATTGTAAAATAACTGAATACTAAATTACTACATATAAAAACCTATGAAATTATTCTAAATTCATACATAGTTAAAAATTTAGTCATAAATTATTTTAGAAAAGAAAAGTGAAAATTACTGAGCTAAAGGTCCAAATAAATTAGGAAAAGGGCAAACAAAAAGAAAGAAATAACGATAAAAGCAGTAATTACTAAAACAGAAAACAAAATATTCAACGGTGAGAGCTGATGAAATCAAAGGCAGGAAATGTATTACAAATTGATTGTTTTAATTTATCACACAGTTACACTGTCACATTAATGAAGAAATAACCCATGTGATCATGGCCATAAATATAAAGTATCTGGAGAAAAACTCCATACTCATTCATAACAAAAACTCTCAGCAAATTAAAAATAGAAAGGAACTTCCTTAAGTTGAAAAAGAAAACCTACTAAAAATAATGAAACATTTGCGGAATTCCCTTGTACATTCAGTAGCAAGACAAGAAAATTCTCTAGCACTTCTACTATATTTTGTTGTAATGAAGATCCTAGCTCGCCCAGTAAAACAAGCTGAAAATTGCTAAAAATATTGGACAAGCTAAAAAATATTGGAAAGGAAGAAATTGCCATTATTCATAATATAATTAATTAATAGAGAATCCATAAATTATTAGAATAAGTAGAGTTCAGAAAGGTTGCAGCATATAATATCAGTATGTAAATATATCAATCAAGTTCTCATTTACCAGAAATAATCAGATGATGTGGTTTAAAAGACACACTGCACAGTAAGTATAAGGTAATTAGGAGTTAATCTAACAAAACAGTTTATATATTACATTATTATGTGGCATATATGATTTCATGTAGTATAGAAAATAGTTTCCATTTTATCATTTAGTGATAGCTTTTTGGTTTTTGTTGGGCTAGTCATTTGTAATGTTATATCAATTTAGTGTCATGATCAACTTTTATTTTTCTTCCCCCCTTAATAAGTTTTTGGTAAAGACATTACCTTAAAAATCATAACTTCCCAGTGCAGAACAACAGAAAAAGTAGGGTAGCATTGCCAATAATCTTCATTGTCTTCACTGGATAAACTATTTTATGAATGCACCAAGGAAATGGAGTCATACTGCAATCTCTCAAAGACTGAAAAATAGTAAAATAAGGTAAAATATTTTTTTCTGTTAACTGTTTATCTCTTTCCCCTGGCCTCCTCAAGTCCTTATGCTCCAAACCACAGTTCAATTATATATTCCTGTAAACCAGTTATACAGATTGTATTAGAAAAGGTTTATTGCATAGCAATTATACTAATTAAGCATATTAATAATCATGATAACAACCATAGACTATGGAAGCCCTTTAGAACAGTATCTGGCACATAAAAATGTTCAGTAAATATTTACTATTATTACAATTTTCAATGATTTGAATCACTAGAGGAAACTATGTAGCTCTTGCATGTCTTGCCATATATTACTTCCTCTGCTTTCTATCTAAGCACTGCTATCCCCATGCTCTTCCACCCACCACCACTACTAGTTTGGAAACAGAGTTCAAGTTGAGGGAAGTGAGGCAGTAGGGAATGAACTGGCATGCTTTCGGGTAAAATAGAGCTCATTCATTTTCTATGCACTACCACCAAACCCTAAATCCAGAACCCCCTTAGTTGCCACTGTTGTCCTATCATTCACTTATTCATTCAAATTATGTGTTTCACTCTTACTATGTACCAGACACTATGCCTTAGTCACCCATTCCTTCCAGCTGCCAGCACAATGCCTAGTCCATTGCAAGGGTTTCACTGAGAGATTTATTGCAAAAATGAAGAAAGGATGGCCTGTGAGGCTTAGATCAGATTTGGTTTTATTTTTTGCATTATTTAAGTTCATGTAAACGGAAGATTGTTTGTCTGATATTAAAATCTGGACTCCTAAAATACATCACTAGCTTGAATATCGTCGATAGTTGCCACTGCATATGGATTAAACAGCATATTCCTTAGTATAACATTCAAAGTCCTGTAAAATTCTATCTCACCTCAGGTCTTTTCAGAGATTTCAGAGTTATAACCAAGGTTTTCCCAGAACAAACCTGTCTTGAGGCTTTTGTTGTAGAAACACTAGGCCTAAAAAACATTCTCTCCCCCTCCACAGGGCAGATATCAGTCATCCTTTAAGGCTCACCCAAATTTCCCTTTTACTCTCTGAAAGTTCATGATTACTACCAGGAAGAATGACTGGGTCCATCCTAGTCGCTTTCTGAATACATTGAACAGGCAAACATTATGGCACTTAGGTTTGACTTACAATGTTATAACTGTTTTTACTTATTAAATTCTCCCACCATACACAGAGAAAACACACACTTTTGTAGTTCACCCTACAAATATCTTCTGTTAGCACATTGCAAGGTATAGGAATTGAATTAGGCCTTGAACACACTGTTGTTATTAATCTTGAACAAAGTATTTTTAAACTGAAAAGTTTCAAAAGTACACAAAAGTAGTGAGAACATTATAATGAATACATCACCTACCTTTAACAATTATCAACTCATGAACCGTTTGTTTGTACCTCCCACCTGGACCCCACTAAATTACTTTCGAGTATATAAAAAAATTCAAGTCTACTTTAAAAATATAACCCACAATTATCTCAACTAATATATTAAATATAATTACTTAATGTCATTAAATATCCAAAATTTCATCCAAGCATATTTTGTGAAAGAGCTATTTAATGTTTACCTATTCCTTCTTCAATTTTAAAATCGTGGAGGGAACAGGGAAAACGGGAAGACAGTCTGGGAAATGCATAATTAAGTTTCAGATAACCAGAATGTCCCAGATGAGAAAGAAAGAATCTGACCTGGTTTAGGGTGGGAGAAGTATATTCATTCTACTACTTCTCTGGAGGAGGAGGGTGCGACTTCAGGCCAGGTGCTGCAGGAGGAGGTGCAGAGGGGAGAGGGGTACTACCTCCGTTTGGGGTCCCTTCCGGATAATCCCAGCGTGGAGCTAAGAGGCAGCGCTTTTTTGGAGGCTTGGTGTCCCGCGTGTTTCCAGGTGGGAGCGTGGATCTCCCGGAGGTACAAGGTTGGTCCCCCATAAGGATTGTAGGTTCTGGGCGACAGCTCTCTCTGGTGGGCCCTAGCAAGGCAGAGAGACCTGAAATGGCGGCGGGTCCCCTCCAGACAGAGCTTCCTCCTGGTTTTTCTCTTACCGTATTTCCTGTATCCTGAGACGTATATCCCCTCTCCGCCTCCGCCCAGCTCCCTACCCCACCCCATTTTAACGTTTCTAGGAGAATGGGTCTTTAAAAAGATGCGTTTACATAATATAATGCTTTCCCATCGTCCCTCCCCTTAGTGTAGTTAATTCTATGGAGAGGTTTATACAATCTATGTAATTTTATCATGAGAAGAAATTCAGGTTTACTCCTAAGTGGTAAACTCTGCACAGATTGTTGAAAGGCGCGGAGTGTGAGGGGCGGGGCGGGCGAACAAAGAAATTATTGACGAGCTAGGGGTTTTGGGATCGAGTTGCAGATGCTCAATATAAAGGTCTGTAACTACCTCCGATCAAAAACCAATATATACATGTGTTCATTGACTAAAGTGCAAAGTAGAGCACTAGTTCTGACCTTGGAAATAGAATGTGAAAAATAAATTCACCGCATGTCATAGACTCTAAGATCACTGCTTTCTTCATATTTTAACAAATTAGAAATCTTTGAAGGCTTACCTTTGACAAAATGGTTCAGCATCTAAAAAATCTTTGACAGTTGATGGCATATCATACTTCAATTGGCAATGTTTAATTTTTCCTAGAGTTTAGGAAAACTGTGATTCATCTTACTATCGCAAGTGTGTTATATACTATGATATACGGTAAGTAGCCAGGAGAGGGTGCAAATTGGCTTAGGGAAAAGGGTTACTAGAACTTCACCAGTCACATCCATCCGCTTTTGGTTATGGACAAACTAGACCTCACATTTCTAGCACTGTCCTTTTTATTTATTTATTTATTTATTTATTTATTTATTTATTTATTTATTTTTAAGGTAATCCTACTGAAGTATGCCCATTCTTCTTTTTTTAATTAATTTATTTTCCTTACAGATGTTTCTCCGTTTTCCCCCATTGACACCTTCCTCCCCCTCCGCCCCCACAGCAATGTTGTCTGTGTTCATTGGTTATTCATACATAAATATAAGTTATTTAGTTTATCTCTTCCTTCCCTGTGTCTCCCTCTTCTGAGGTTTGTCAGTCTGCACCCTACTTCTATATCTCTGGGTCTATTTTCTTTATCAGTTTTTTTTGTTCATTATATTCCACAAATAAGTGAGATCATGTGATATTTGTCTTTCTCAGACTGGCTTATTTTACTTAGCATAATACTCTCCAGATCCCTCCATGTAGTCTCAAAGGATAAGAGATCTCTCTTTCTTACTACTGCATAGTATTTCATTGTGTGTATGTACCACATCTTTTTTATCCATTCATCTACTGATGGACATTTGGGCTGTTTCCTGATGTTAGCTATTGTAAATAGTGTTGCTACGAATGGGGGTACATATATATATTTTTCTGATTGGTGATTCAGGCATCTTAGGTTATACTCTTAGAAGTAGTATCACTGGGTCAAATGGCAGATAAATTTTTGATTTTTTTGAGGAAACACCATATTGTTTTTCATAGTGGCAGCACCAGTCTGCATTTCCACCAGAGTGTACTTGAGTCTCCTTTTCCCCACATCCTTGTGGGCACTTGTTGTTTGATGATTTGTTGATGGCAGCCATTCTGATAGGTGTGAGGTGATACCTCATAGTCGTTTTAATTTGCATCCCTCTGATGGTTAGTGACTTTGAGCATTTTTTCATATGTCTCTTGGCCATTTGTATGTCCTGTTTGGAGAGATGTCTATTTAGATCCTCTGCCCACTCTTAATTGGACTATCTTTGTTGCTTTGGCTGAGTGGTATGAGTACTCTATATATTTTGGAGATCAACCGCTTATCTGATGTGTCATTGGCAACTATGCTCTCCCATATAGTGGGTTCCCTTTCCTTTTTGATGCTTGTTTCTTTTGCTGAGCACAAGCTTTTTAGTTTGATGTAGTCCCGTGCATTGTTTCCGTGCATTGTTTTTTTTCTTTGTTTCTCTTGCCTTAGGCATTGTATGTGAAAATTCTGCTGTGTGTGATGTCTGATATTTTGTTGCCTACATTTTCTTCTAGAATTTTTATGGGTTCATGAGTTCCATTTAAGTCTTTTATCCATTTTAAGTTTATTCTTGTGTATGGTGTAAGTTGGTGGTGTAGCTTCATTTTTTAATTTATATTTTTAACTGGAGATAATTCAGTCATTAATATCGAAATATAACTGACTTTCAACATACTCTGCTAAATGCAAGCTTTGCGATATTTAAGAAGTTCATTAAACATTTGGAGCTTTAGTGGTACATATACACAATGGAGTCCTATGCATCTGTAAGAAAGAAAGATTTCTTATCCTTTGAGACAACATGGAGGGACCTGGAAAATATTATCCTCAGCGAAACAAGCCAAGCAGAGAAAGACAAATATCACATGAGCTCACTTATTTCTGGAATATAATGAACATAACAGTCTGAGGAACGGGGTAGTCCCAGAGACGTGGAAGTGTGGTACAGACTGACAATCCCCAGAAGAGGGGGTAGTGGGGGAGAGAAACCACAAAACTTATATGGATGTATGCATGAACAATGGACATGGACAACAAAGCTGGGGATAGGGCAGGGAGGGAGCGGGAGGGGGGAATCAGTGGGGGGAAAAGGAGAAACATCTGTAACAAAAATTAATTAATTAAAAAAAAACACTTAGAGCTTTAGTTTCCAAGAGGTAATCCTTTTTTTTCTTTGCAGTACTATTACCATAATCAGGTATAATGCAACTAAAGTGCTTATTAACCCTGATTGCCCCTCATCTCCAGCACCACTACCTTCCTCCAAGCAGCACAGCCTTTTATGCAAACTAAGATACTCAGGAAATGGGAATATGAATGACCCTGTGGTTTTCTATCAGTAAGTTAACAGAAATATGTGAAGGGAAATCAAGAGAAACAAAGTTCTAGAGCTAGAAGAGGGGTTGAGACTAGACATATAGATCAGTAACATAGATGTGGTTGTTGAAGTCATGGGAAAGGATGATATCCCTAAGAGAAAATATAGAGAAAAGATTATTGGGCTAAAGGCAGAATAGTGAGTAATTAGAGACAAAAGAGAAGCCTGCTACAAAGGCTAAGAAAAATGGCCAAAATCAGAGAAAAGAACTCTAACCCAGGGTTTCTCATCGGTTTGAATGACATTTAAGGACAGATCATTCTTGGGCTATCATGAGCATTGTAGGATGTTTAGCAGTATCCCAACCCAGGCTAGTAGCACCCCACTTGCTCCTTTCCTAGTGTGTGTGTGCGTGTGTGTTTTGTTTTGTTTTTAATCTCAGTCAATGTCATGCCTTCAACCCAGTAGAAGACAAACCTCAGTGTCCTTTTTTTCTTTGATATTGCAGAATATTTTATTATTTCCCAAAGTAAAAGAAAGTAAATTTTTACAGTCTTTTTACATGGGTCTCTAAATCTTTGAGACTAAGGACTTTAAAAGTAAAAGTTGAAGTTGTTTTATAACTATACTTTTAGTAAATTAAGAGGAATATTTGCCTATTTAGTGAAATGACAGGAATTAAAAATTATATTAAATCCAGCGGGATTTGATTTATCATAAACATTTGACTTAAGGTGAAAACAGTCTCAACTTAGAGCTGCTGCCATCAACCTAGACTCTTTGTTTCAACTGGATTTGTTTATTTTACTTTTTAGTTCTGATAAAATACATACAGCAAAATGTACCACCTTAACCATTTAAGTGTGCCAATTAATAGTGTTAAGTATATCCCCAATATTGTACAAACATTCTCCAGAAAATTTTCATACACATTAAACATAACTTCCATTTTCCCCTCTCCTCAGCCCTTGGCTACTACCATTATCTTTATTCATATATTTGGTCATAGCAAGGTGGAAAACTAAAGCCTTTTACTTCTAGGTTTCAAAATAATGTTTCATTGGGGAACATTATTTTGAAACCTAGAAGTAAAAGGCTTTAGTTTTCCAAGTTAAGCTTTTTTCCCCCCAACATTGATGAATTAGTTGAGTGTAAATCATGAAACCAGAAGAGGGCACTGTTAGGTTAAAGAACCAGATTTGAAAATTGCGGTAGATCACAATTTCTTAATTGCACGTGCCCAAAGAGAGAACAAAGAGAAAACACAAAACTGAATTCACCTCTGGGTGATAGTAAACTGTTTTTAATTATTTTTTTAATTGAGAAGTTGGTTGATTCATTGTGATTTCTTTTAGAAATGAGCTTTCATCTCAAGGCCAAGAATTTTTCTCTTCTATGTGGAAATATAAAGAGCTTTTCTGTTAATTTTTTAATGTTGATGTTACTGCAGGAGTCTCACTTCCCCCTCCCCTTTGCCCACCTCTACCCTTCCCCACCTACCCATTCCATGACCTAAGTACACATCTAAGGACAAGAATCTTGGAGTTTCTGTAACATTATCATAAAATGAAAAATAAGGATGATTGGGAGGAAAAATATACTTATGATTTTTTGGTTTTATTTTAGGTTTTAATGAATTATTTAACTATAATTTTTAAAGAATTCTCTGAAGTATTTATACTTTCATACTTTGTGTTTTGTTTTGTTTTATTTTAACTTAACCATACAACTGGGCAAGATTTCCAGATAACACATTCTTTCTTCTCATTTTAAAACGTTTTTTTAAGGGCATCACAAAATTCCAATTTATAGACTTATGATAATTTTTGACATTATTTTTATTGTTGATACTATAACAGATATCCCCATGGCCCCCTTTTTTCATAGTTTAATGAGCAGTTTTGTTGTTATTTTTATTTTATTTCAATTTATCTTTATTGTTGAAAGTATTACAGATATCTGTCCCTCCTTTTTCCCCCCATTGACACCCTCCACTCCGCTTCCTCCACCCCCAACCCTGCCTTCAACACACTGTTGTCTGTGTCCACTGGTTATGCATATATGCATAAAAGTTCTTTGGTTTATCTCTTCCCGACCCCCACCATACCCTTTCCTCTGAGGTTTGTCAGTCTGTTC